GCTCACATTGGTACCTTCTTTGCATTTTGTCAAATCTGCAATGAAAGTGTTCTTAAAACAAACAACATGTGACGGTCATCATCCAAGACTGCTGTAACATGAAATATATGGCAGAATGCGGGTAAAACAGAGCAGGAGACATAATTCTCCCCCAAGGAGTTCAGTCCCAAAAAAAAAAAAATTTTTTTTTTTAAAGTTTTAATTAAAACGAGCATCATCAGCATGGAAGCATGTCCTCTGGAATGGTGGCCAAAGCATGAAGGGGCATACGAATGTTTAGCATATCTGGCAGATGGGGTTGTCTGGCTCGCTGGGCCCCAGAATGGACCCGGCTGAGGGATCCCGTTCTCTGTACCTACAAGCTCTGTTTTAGACCGTGTTCCTGTCATCTAACAAACCTCTGTTTTACTGGCTGGCTGAGAGTCACGTCTGACTGCGAAGTTGGGGCTGTGTGCAGGACCCTTTGGCTTCCTCAGGACCCCACCTGGGCGGACTCGCTGTGGGAAGCGCACGGAGGGGCATATGCTGAATGCTCCAAGGTCAGACCCAGGAGGTGAAGCCGTGTGAGCTTCTTGCCCTGAAGACAGTCTGCTCTGAGGGAGAGGAAGTTCCCCAAAGTCCTGACTGGCTTTGTGGGGAGCAGTTCCAGAACATCGCCCGGGGACTCTAACACCATGCTGCCCTGGATTCCTCCAAAGATGGAGCCAGACGAGTCCTACTGCCACCTTGTGCATGAGTCACCTTTCCTGAGTCACCTGCTGCCTCAGACGAATGGGAGTTGGCAAGGATGTTATGTGACTCCCTTGAGGGTCACAGCAAAAAGTGTTTTGGAACCTCTGTGCTAAGACACCTCTTGAAAGTTTTATATTTTGAATACTGAGGTGTTGATTATTGCTACTAACTTATGCTTACTCTGCAGTAATAAGTTATTTTCTTAAAAATTATTCTCCTTAACCTCTGAAGATAGAACAAGTAATGGGCTTAAATTGCAGCAAGGGAGGTTTAGGTTGGACATTAGGAAAAACTTCCTGTCAGGTGGTTAAGTACTGGAATAAATTGCCTTGTGAGGTTGTGGAATTTCCATCATTGGAGATTTTTAATAGCAGGTTAGACAAACACCTGTCAGGGATGGCCTAGTTATTACATAGTTCTGCCTTGAGTGCAGGGGACTGGACTAGATGACCTCTCGAGGTCCCTTCTAGTCCTACGATTCTATCTTCCAAGACTGTATTGTACATTGTTCTTTGGCTTAAAATTGTTCAACTTTTTGGTGCTAAAGTCATGATTGTATATGGTTCTAGGACATTAGTTTCTGAAACATGTTTCAAATATATTTGCTAAATACGATATAGTAAAATAGCTTATTGTTATAAGAACTGAAGAGTGCTGTTTTGCTACAAACTAATGACACTGGTAGCACTAAGTCCGGTAGGAGTCCAATTTAAGAGACGAAGCCAGCTTCCAACCTCCTTTAACACTGATTTAACAGTCATTAAAAAAAAAGTTATCATTATCAGTTACTTTATTTCTTCCTTGAATACCACTGTAGAATTATTAGGAAAAGCACTGCCTTGCCTTACCGCTTAAATCGAAGGCTGTGTAAGAGTCAGTTCCTTTCTCTCCACATCACTAACAGTGGAAGGAGACTCTGCCAAACTTCATCTCACCCCTCAAACTTTATTCCTCTTGTAAATGTTCATGGATGTTTTAGGAACAGTTTTATTAAATAGGGTTTTTATTCTTTGTTTGGGCTAATTTTAGGACACTTAATGCTTATGATGCAGAGTCACTTATGGGCTAATCTTTTACCACAAAAGGTTTCAATGTCAATTCACAGGAAGAACCTTCTACAAGAATGTGGCCTGAACATATATATCACTTTATTTTCCTTCTTTATAGAAATGTATCACTATTTTCTTTATTCTTTTACCTCCTTAAGTACACCCTGTGGTACTATTTTTAAAAATTACAACTGGCAGCTGCAATTTTATTTCAGCATTTCAGAATCAATCCAACTAGTTCTCACCTGAACTTGCTTTCAAAGACTCCAAAATTGACTCTATCACCAGACTTCAGAGTTCTGGAAGTACCATTCAAAACTTTTTCTCCATTAACAAAGGTACCATACTTAGAGGTGTCTTGTATTATCAATTCAGGGACTGAGAGAGCTTGACTCTGAAAATGAATATAAATTTGTCAAGTCTTATTAGGTACTCAAAAAAATATCGTATATTGTTACAGAACAAGAAGCAGCAAATGTATAAAATGAAAGCACATATTATGAGATACTCTTATTACTGTCCTAAAAATATACAGTATATTGGGACAAATATGTTAGTTATGCAGTTCAAAGTTTATCACCTGCTTTCCATGAGAAACAATTGAGAAAAAAATTCCCCATAACTACTTAAGAGAAGTAGTATTTTTTGCATTCAACTTTGTTTTGCTATAATTCACTACCTCTACCTTCTGTTATATGGTACTCACGATACCAATGCATCTGTACCCATGTATCAATATCAGGATGTGCTATTAATGCTCAGAGTGATGTTGGGGTGCATTTCCTACCACTACAGATTTCCTTTTTAGTAAATCTTTGTGAAACGTTTTTTTGCCTTCTCTGTGACCAGTCTAGAAGCGATGGAGAAATTTATATAGCTATTCTATTACCTTTAGAGTTTGTAGATATTCATAAGTATTTGTTGTGGGTCAGAATTAAAGCTCTACTTCTGCAACTTAATGCATGCAGGTGGACCCTGCACACATACAGAGTCCCGTTGACTTTAATGAGCCTCTGTGCTACAGCTAGGGTCCACTACTGTGCGTCAAATTACAGAACTCCATTCTAAGGTGACTTTTTACATATGTGATAATCACCAAATAAACAAACCATAGAGGTAATTGAATATTCACATTCAAATACCTTAATTGATGTTTACTCTTTACAATCCTTTCCCCCCCCCCATTGTAATGTTAGTATGTAACTTACATAAGGGTTATATTAATCACGGGAAATAACAAGAAAAGTGTTTCTGTGTGGGACAAACCGCATCAAATTTTGCTCAGTTACATAAGTGAGACTCACCTACCTCAAGAAGTCAGTGGGAGTTAAACCTGTGTGGCCTTAAAGGGTATGTCTACATAGCAAAGAAAACCCTATGGCTGGCCTGTGCCAGCTGACTGAGGCTCTTGGGGCTCAGGCTGCGGGGCTCTTTCTTTGCTGTGTACACTTCTAGGCTTGAGTTCCCACCTTGCAGGGTCCCAGAGCTCGGGCTCCAGCCCAAGCCTGGAAGTCTACACAGCTATGAAACAAGCCCCATGGGCCAGCAACAGGTGTCTAGTTGCTGTGTAGACCATACCCAAAGACACAAGTTTGGAACACAGAAAGCGAAGTGAGTCACAATTCAATACCGAACCTTATGGGGCCTGTCTAGAAGGGGAAATTTACTGGTATAATTACACCAGTATAATTCCCCGTGTGGGCATAAGAGTATCCACAGGGGGAATTATACCAATATTATTACAGCGCTATAATTTTGTTGGTCAATTTCCCTGTGTAGACAAGCCCATAGAAATATTCAAGAAAAAGATAGCATGAGTCTAGTGCCACCCTACAAGGTAGGTTTGTTGGAATAAACTGGAATTGATTTCAGATTGAAACACATATATTAAAGGTGGGGGAGTATCCCTAAACCCGGTCAGTTTTAGGTCATATAGCCATAATGTAGTAAAGTGGATACTTACAAGGTTAGTTTCAGGGTGGGTGACCGTCAGAACTGCATGACTTCGACTGATCGACTGATCATCCTGAATTAAAATTGCACAGTTCTTGCGTCCAACAACATACTCAGTACCAACCAAAAGTCGATATGGCTCTGCTGAGAACAACAAAATTAACAAATATTTAACAGCAGAAAAACATAAGTACTTGTGAGCCATCTAAAAGCTTTTGCCAAGATATAACAAACTCAGTCCTGTAATCTAGATGTATTGGGCAGGATTGGAAGTGCAATTTTATTTTACAGCTACATTTTTTCTCTCACTGGCTCCTTGTACACTTGAGCTGGACTCACTGTTGTGACAGAAAAAGTAGTTCATAGTTCTGAGGCAATCTTCCAGAGAATAAAATGCATCACAGTGCTAACAAAAACAACTTGCAGTACTACTTACAGGAAATATACAGTACCACTTTTGGGAACCATTAGGATTTATGTGGAGGAAAAAAGTGTATCATACTGCTATTCCAGAATACTATTCAGAAAGACAACTAGCGAAAGAGATTCAGATGAAAAAATCCTACCACTTTTTAATTGAATGCTGGATGATCTACAAGAGAAATCAAACCATAATTGATAAATATCCACTCCACTTTGACTGACTGTTCTATTCCACTCTTGGCATTTGTCATCTAGACAACATGATGGCACAATCGCATACATTTTGAGTGAACTTGAAAAACATGTTCACCTATTTGCCAGCAGAAAGAAACTTTTCCTGATCATGATGGATGAGTAAAGGGGGTAAAGCACCAATTTCTACAGAACACAAGCTTTCGTTTAAGGAAAGAGTCACTTTATAGCCCTTAGGGTGTTACCTGTGCAGGTAACTTTCAAATATGACAGTAATAGTGCCTCTGCTGCTGCTCATCACTTCCCTAAGGAGCAGTAGAATTACTAAAAAGATTCTACTCAGTTTCACTGCACTACTTAGAACCCTGTTGCTAGTATTAAAATTAACCCAAACACACTTACTCTGGGGTGGTTTGGGAAACTAAAAGCAGCAGCACTTGTAGGCACTGACATTGTTTATAGGGGAGGAGGACCCAAAAAAAAAAAGAGAGAGAGAGAGAGAGAGAAGAAAAAACTCCCTTCTATATGTGATAGCGGCCAAGAAAATGGAGATTCTTCCTTCAAGAATGAGGACCTCCATCGTGTCAGTCACCTTCCAACTGGAGACTGATAGAAAAGATGAAGCCCAAATTATACAGCTAATAAAACTAATAAGAAGAGAAGTGACTTGCCAGTGCCAAAACTGCACCCGATCAGCCCAACACTTGCATGTATGCAACAGGTGCAACTGAGAAAGTGAGACCCCCAGCAGTTTGACTTTCACCCCTGTATTTATTCCCTAGATACTTTTAAGACTGCCAATTTGGGAAATACAGTACCTTATACATGTATTTTATTGGTTTCTGGAAGATTGTAGAGCATCTCACATCCAAAACCCAATAAAATGTAAGATCTGAGCTCCTCAGGACTCAATTGATAGGGTTAAAGAACATACCTGACCTCAAGGCCATATAGTTTCAAGGATCAATCCTATAGGATTTGAGTCAGAATTTGTCCAAATTAAAGAAAAGTCTTTCTTTCCTCTGCAATTTTAAATTTCCTAATATTATTATATTCTTCCATAATCAAAGTTAGAATGCCTAGTTTTAATTACACCAGTGAATTACCAAGAACCTAACAATTTTCTGAGGAACCTAAATTAAATTAATTTGTTTTCAGTCTCATTCCTAGTGGCAAGTTTTCACAACACACGTACCATCACCAAAGCAGATTCTAATTGTCTCCCTCATTGTTATACCAACAAGTGTAGACAAGGACTAAAATTGCCAAACAACTATAGAGGAGTTCTTTTGCCAGTATGGCTTATACCAGTTCCCTGAATAAAATCTACAATAGCGCTTTTTACTAGCATGGCTAGGTAAGTTAAGGGTATGATTCTTTTTCTACACTTCTAACTGACATAACTATGCCAGCAAAACTTTCTAGTACAAACCAGTCCTTAGTCAAGAAATCAAAGAATGAACAGGCATGAAGAATAAATGATCCCCCTGAAAAATACCCTAACCAGGTCAGGGATGAGGCATGCAAGAAAGATAGTTCCACCACACACAGGCACTGCAGCTACCCATGCTGCATGCATTCTACAACTTGACGTTTCTGGAGCCTACATGCCTCCATCTATTTGATATCTTTTTCAAGCAATAAAATTCAGATCATAGTGAGGAAAGAGGATGGACTATTTTCCTCAAAAATTTATTTAAAAATTTAAAGTATTGTTTCTCCCCAAAACCTTTTCACATTTTAATTCAACTGAAGAAATTTACCCAGCCTATCTCACTGTACAAGATGAAGTAAAACTTTTTCTCGTAAATACAATTGCTGCCCTCAGTTAAACTATCAGCTAACTAAGCAGTATAACTGAGGCCACAAGACTGTGTTCTACAAAAGTTTTAATCAAATTCTTGCACTGTCATTGTAGCCCAGGTAAAGTTCCTGCTCAGAGCAGACTCAAATGACACAGTGGTTAAAAAAAATAATTCTGGCAGCTGGCATACACTAGCTATATGTTGCTGATGTTATTTAATATATTTATTAATGAAGTGCAAAGGTGGATGAAGTGCAAGGTGGCAAAATTTAGGATGGTCAAAGTAAATTAAAAGTTATTTTGGATAGGCAAGTATATAGATGATTAAGAAAGTCTGGAGGGCCCTGACAAAGCTGGATAGCAGAGAAAGTTCATTGTTGACACATACAAAAGTAATGCATATTGGAAGGAATAAATTTGAACTGCTTATACAAAATACAGGGTTCTAAATTAACTTTACACACTCAAACAAAAAGACGCAATTGTAGACAACTCAAGGAAAACCTCTCCCAAACACACAGTAGCAGTCAAAAATACAAACGAACTGCTAACCTGCATAAAGAATGACAAAAAATAATAACTGGAATATTACATAAATCAATAGCACAACCCCATTTAGAATATTGTGATCAGTTCTGGTCACATCATCTAAAAAAACAAGAAGGCTTCAAAGAAGTGATGAAAATGATCAAAGGCACAGAAATAATTTCATATTTAAAAACCTCAAGAGTAACTATATAGGGATGATAGAGACAAGGTGGATGAGGTAATAACTACACTGCATATTTAAAAATGACACATAAGAGGGGTCACAGGAACATAAAATAAATGGCAAAGAGAAAGCAAATGGAAGTAAAAGGAAGTAAAAGGTATGTTTCTACATTCACTCCTATACACACCCTCACATAATAAAGGGGGAATTGAACAAAACTGAAAAGGCAATCACATTAAAACGAGTAAAATATATGTTTTAAAGGAGGCATATTTAGCCTGTGGAACTCATGGCCACATGCTATCTATCATTCAGGTGGCTAAATCTGGCACTGGTACGGTTAGGAGACCTGGTGACCAGACAGCAAACGTGAAAAATCGGGACGGGGGTGGGGGGTAATAGGAGCCTATATAAGAAAAAGACCCAAAAATCAGGACTGTCCCTATAAAATCGGGACATCTGGTCACCCTAGGAGACCATGCAGATTAGACTCAATTTAAAATCCTTATTTAGAGGGGACACAGACACTGTAGTGCACCCCCCTCCCCCGCCAGCAGGGGCTGGAAGCCCCGCGGGCCCCTCACCTGCTGCACTCACACACTGTGGGGGTTGAAACAATGTGTATAGTGGGGG